TTGCTGATTGGCCCAAAGTCACTCAGCTATGCCTATGGTTCCTCTAGATCTGACAGTCTCCTGGTTATTGGCTATTGTAAATCCCAAGGCTGTGCAGGTTGCAGAAATGGAACACACCATACCTGTTGCAGGAGAAGAAATTCCTGTCTTCTGGCGATTGGCTCAGCTGTCTTTCACACATGGGGGCGAGACTCGAACTCCTCACTTCTGGCCCGTTCCCTTGAGGGCTGCCATTTAGCAGGTCTGTGGGTGCCAACCTCTCCCAACTGTCTGAGCCCCTGAACCCAGGTGGCATCTCCTGGCAACCTGTTTGCAAAGGCCATGTCTGTCCACCCAGTGGCCGTTGCTTAGTGACTTATGGGGGGGGTCATCTCTGACGTCACAGTGGAGGGAGGGGAGGGGGCAGGAGGGGCTGTAACTGTCAGGGAAGGCCCAGCCATCAGCACCCAGGCCAGCTCCCTGCTACCCAAAGCCGCCATCATGGTTGCCCAAAGCCTGTTTGGTTGCCTCTTCCTCTTCCTGTTCACGTCCTTTTAGGTAGGGGGGGTTCAAAGCCCCCTGGGAGCAGCAGCTGCCCTCCCAGAATCCCATGCTGGAGTCCGTGCAGGGGGTGGCCTCCTGGGTGCCCCCGATGAGCCACCCCCCCCGGGGCGGCTTCTGTGTTTGGAGCTTCCGTGCTTCCTTGCCTACAACAGGGGCCATTGGGGGAGGAAGGCCCTGCCCCCCCCAATCCCTGCCCCCCAGGAGGAGGAGCAGAAAGGGGGGGGCAGAGAAATAAGCCTTGGGGTGCAGAGGCTGGAAGGCCATGTGGAGGCAAAGGAGCGGGGGGGGGGCTTAACACCCAGGGCTTCCCTGGAGCCATGAAGTGGAGGAGGATGTAACCACCACCTGAGATGAATTCACATGATACACCAAGCTGACCCCTCACCCACCAGCTGCACACACAGCACATGGACCACCTAGAGAGTTTAACAGATTAACGGTTGGAAGAGACCTTATAGGTCATTTAATCCAACCCCCCGCCCAAGCAAGAGACCCTACATCATTTTTGACAGGTGGCAGCCCAGTCTCTTCTTGAAAGCTTCCAGGGATGAAGCTCCTACAACTTCTGAGGGCAACTTCTGTTCCACTGGTTGATTGTTCTCACTGTCAGAAAATTTATCCTTATTTCCAGGTTGAATCTCTCCTTGTTCAGTTTCTATCCATTCTTCCTTGTCTGGTCTTCAGGTGCCTTGGAGAATAGCTTGACCCCCTCCTCCTCCTCTCTGGGGCAGCCCCTCAAATATCAGAAGATGCTCTCCTGTCTCCCCTGGTCCTTCTCTTCCCTAGAGTAGCCAGGCCCAGTTCCTGCAACCATTCATCGTATGTTTCAGCCTCCAGTCCCCTCATCATCCTGGTTGCTCTTCTCTGCACTCTTTCTAGAGCCTCAGCATCTTTTTTGTGATGTCTTGATCCACATTGGCTGCAGGATTCCAGGTGTGGCCTCACCAAGGTTTTATAAAGAGATACTAAGACTTCACATTTTATGTCTCTCTGTTTATACAACCAAATATTGTATTCACTTTTTTGGCTGCCGCCACACACAGCTGACTCATTGGTCTTCTAGTCTATCCCACATACACACACACACACCGCACAAGCTCATACAATCTAGAATCTAAGGCTGGAAGGGACCTCGGAGGTCTTCTAGTCTACCCCACATGCCCAAGCTCATAGAATCATAGATTCATAGGACTGGGAGGGACCTTGGAGGTCTTCTAGAGCAGCAGTCGCCAACCGATGGTCTGCAGCCCACTGGTGGTCTGCAAGAAAATGTTGGTGGGCCACAGAGAAATGTCACCCCCCAGAGCACCCACCACCAAAGCAATTAATCCAGACTGTGCCGAAACACAAGGCTGAGCCCCCCACATGGCCCGCGGGAAGCCTCCCCGCCCACTCAGTCCTTACCCGGCAAACTTGCCCGCTAAATTGCTATTTTTCCTTTTTCCGACCATCATCTGTTCTGCTGTGCTGGGAGATTTAGATTAGCTAGGAAGCAGGAAATGTTTGGATTTCTTGCTTTCTAGCTAGTCCCTTAGGACTGAAGGTTCTGTTATTCAGTGCAGACTGACAGCAAGCAAATTTCATGTGACAGACTCAGGTAGCCGATGGCAGATAGATAGATCTCTGAATGATTTTGTGAACAACTCAATCTGCCTGCCTGCTTTGCCTGATTTTGGGTAAAAGTTGCTCTTTTTTTAAAAAAAATCAATATTTACATACATGGTGTGCTATGAGTTAATTTTGTGAGTTTGCTTGCTAGCAAATTTTATGGGTTTGCTTGTAAACAAATTTTATGTGACAGGCTAAGGTAGCTGATGGCAGAAACACAGATCTCTAAGTAGATCTGTGATTCTGTGAGCAACTCAATCTGCCTGCCTGCTCGGCCTGGTTTTGGGTAAAAGTTGCTCTTTTTTAATAAAAAAATTCAATATTTACATACATGTTGTGTTGTGAGTTAATTTTGTGAGTTTGCTTGCTAGCAAATTTTATGTAACAGACTCAGGTAGCCAATGGCAGAAAGATAGATCTCTGAGTGAATCTGTGATACTGTGAGCAACTCAATCTGCCTGCCTGCTTTGCCTGATTTTGGGTAAAAGTTGCTCTTTTCTTTATAAAAAATTCAATATTGACATAAATATTTGTAATATTTACATACAAGCCGTGCCCAGCCAGTCACATGACCACCAAGCCACACCCACAAATTAGACCACGCCCACAGAACTGGATGTTAAGAAATTTGAATCCCACCCTTGCCTCTGTGTTTGTGTGTGTGTGTGTGAGAGAGAGAGAGAGAGAGAGAGAGAAAGAGAGAGGGAGGGAGGGAGAGAGGGAGAGAGAGAGGTTAGATCAGATCTCTCTTTCTCTCTCCTTCTCCCTCCCACCAATGTCAGCAAGCCACCATCAGTCAAAATTCATATTAATGTTCCCCGGGATTTAAAATTATGAGTTTGGTGGTTCCTGAGGTCCAAACGGTTGGCGACCCCTGGACTAGTCCACCCCCTCACCCAGACTCATAGAATCATAGAATTGTACAGTTGGAAGGAACCTTGTGGGACTTCTGGAGCGAAGCTGTTCTAGTAATTAATTGATTCCCACCATCAGGAACCTTCTTCCTAATTCCAGGTTGCGTCTCTCCTTGATTAGTTTCCATTCATTATTTCATGTCCTGCCTCGAGGTGCTTTGGAGAATAATTTGAGCCGCCACCACCCCGCCGTCTTCTTTATAGCAGCCCCCCAAATACTGGAACATGGCTGTCATGTCACTCCTGGTCTTTCTTTTCACTAGACTAGACATATCCAATACCTGCAACCATTCTGCCCTCTCATGCATCTGGCCACCTTTTAAGCAGATCTATGCATGTATGTATGTATGTATGTATGTATGTATGTATGTATGTGTGTATGTATCTATGTATCTATGTATGTAAATGTGTGTGTGTGTGTGTATGTTCCAGCATAACTCTGGAATGCCTCTAGCAATTTCAACCAAACTTGGTACACAGATTACATACTCTCTGGAGACAAATACTGCGAGGGGGTGGGGTTAACGCCCCTAACACCCCTCGGGGTGTGTGTTGTGTTAAGATACAGCCTGTTGTGCCTTAACATGGCTTCTACTGTACTGCCTTTATATGGCTTCTACTATACAGTGCTGTGGAGTTGCCATGGTAACAGCTTCACAGTACTCCACAAGGGGGCTCTCTCTGGTAAGGGGGAAAATCCAACCTTAGAAATTACGTTTGTTCCGGGATATTTTCAACAAGGCTTTGATTATTCTTGAGGACAAATGTATGGCCATAAATAAATACCCGGGCAATGCCAGGGTTATTGGCTAGTAAAACAATACTGCTGACACACAAGCCTGATACACTGGGTTGAACTCATTTATTGTCTTCCCGTCATTACACACACAAAACATCTCCCCTGGAGTGATGGAGAAGGGAAAGGAACTTTGGACACGCAAAGAGTGACCGAAAGAACAAATGGCGAGTTTTAAGAGGAAAGGCCAGTGAATTTGCACAGCCCCGTAGTTGAGTTCTCACAACGTACTTCATCCAGGGGATACAATATTCTAAACCAGGGGTCTCCAACCTGGGCAACTTTAAGCCTGGCGGACTTCAACTCCCAGAATTCCCCAGCCAGCTTTGCTTTGAATTCTGGGAGTTGAAGTCCGCCGGGCTTAAAGTTGCCAAGGTTGGAAACCCCACCTGTTCTAAACTGAATGAACATTTTGTGGGTCTTTTTTTGTGGTGTTGTGGGACTCTTAGCTTGTGGTTCAATCTGCCGAGTAGACCCAGGACATGGGTGAAGCCAGATGTTCCCTCCTGCCTGAATTGCTGTGTGAATCTAGCTATCCTACTTTGTGGACTGGGGGTTGTGAGTCTGTGCATTAACTGAACATAAAAAAACAACGTTGGGTTGCGTTTCCTTAGTCTTTGTACTGGTAGTCCTCGACTTACAGAGTTCATTTAGTGACCATTTAAAGTTGAGAAAAGTGACTTTCACGCTTGTGACCATTGCAGCCTCCCCATAGTCACATGATCAAAATTCAGACGCTCTGGCAACTAGCTCGTACTTATGACGGTTACAGTGTCCCGCGATACCCCTTTTTGTGACCTTCTGACCAAGTAAAGTCAATGAGGAAGCCCAGATTCACTCCACAAGGGCATGATTCATTTAACAACTGCAGTAATTCACTTAACAACAGTGGCAAGGAAGCTCGTAACATGAGACCAAGCTCACGGTGGAGGTTTCACTTAGCTACAGAAATTGTGGGCTCCATTCTGGTCGTACGTCAAGGACTAGCCCTGGTGAACTCTCGGCATCAGCCAACCTACTGGGGACGCCTGGCAGTGGAGGAAGGACGCGGATGAGGGGGCCATGTGGCTGCACAAGGGAGGAGGGGATTGTTGGCGTCCAGCTGGATAGACTTGAGCCAAAGGGGCCACAAAGGAGAGTCAACCACTCATCCCGCTGGATCCACCGGTAGACAAATTTCTGCGGACTGCACAGAAGTGGAACAGAGCTGGGGAGAGAAAGGGGAGAAGGTTAGTGTGATGGGCCAAAGGGGTGTGGCACAAAGCCAACACAGTCAGATAATCAGTAGGAGTCCCTTTATTAGCTCCAACTCTGCCCCCAATGTCCTGGTTACCTTCTGGCTGGAGAAAAACTCTTCCAGGTACAGAATCCCTTGATTCTGCAGAGAATCAAGGCCAAAACGTGGTCAACAAAAACTGGAACTGTAAGTCCAATCAAGGCAAAATGAGGTAATTAGTCTGGCAGGGCAGGAGCAGGAATTCCAGACATGAAGGCACGGCAGTAATTTAACACAGTTGGGAGGATGCCAGGAACGCAGATAACTAACATCAACATAAGATAAACTCACGTTTGTTCCCAGCAAATGCGGCTCTCAGCTGCCTCTTCTTTAAACTCTCTTGTGGCTAATGAAAGGAATCAGGGCCCTTTCCTCCCCCGTAAGCCATACAACTCACGTTGCTCCCTCCTCCGTTCCTCCCTGTGTGCCCTAGGATGAAGAGGGGGTGGGCTGGGTCTTCCTCTGAACTTCCTCTCCCTTGTTCTACCTCTCCCCTGCTCTGCCCAGCTTTGCCCTTCTCCATTTTACTCCACAGCCAACCTCCGATAGTTAGGGTCAGTTATTTCCCACCCGTAGCCCTGTCCAGGATTGCCTGTTTTGGGCACTTTGCTTCTAATTACAACTTAGCCCAAAGTTTCTGATGATTTTTCCAAGATGGAGGAAACAGTTGAACCAAATTATTAGCATTATTAGTAAACAGCTATACCAATAGGGCCTATCGTGCTAAGCAGTGAACACGAGAGACAGAGCTCAGGTGATAAGCAAGGACCACCCCTGATCCAAGAGCACGAAGAGTGGAGAGAAGGTAAGAACAGCTCAGACTGAGCCGACTACTCGGGAGGAGAGCACCCTGCCCCTCTCCACAGGGCATACCTGGGGACTGAGACTTAAGGAGATGATGTGGGGAGGGGCATTTATTGGGAACGAACGCTGAATTCCTGGGGTGTTGAATGCCGACGTCTGAACTTTTCTGGATTCCTTGCACTCTTTCTGGATTTCTGGATTAATTGCCTGCCTCCTTTGCTTCCGGGATTCCTCGACCTGCCGTGCTGGAGTTCTTGCTGTGCAGCCGTGGTGCTCACAGCGTTGGGCTGGACTACTTGCAGCCAGAGGCTGCTGGAGGGGTGTGTCTGTGTCTGTGATCACTTTGCTCTGGGACTTGCCAGAAACATGGGGGCGCCTGGGGAACATTTGGAGCAATAAAGGGGTGGTTTGAACGGTCAGCTGACTGTGTTGCTTCTGTGCCGTGCTCCAGGGCTGTTCCAGTTGTTCGTCGATGCCATTTTTTTCCTGCTTATCAGTCACCAAGAATTGCCATCATTTTATTTGGCTTTATGGAGAAACTTCCCAGATTATCAGAGTTTCTCATTCTGGGAGTTGAAGTTTGCACATCTTAACTGGTTAACATCTTAACTCTGAAATGGTACAGATTCTCCTCCTTGAGCAGGGGGCTGGACTAGAAGACCTCCAAGGTCCCTTCCAACTCTGTTATTCTATTCTATTCTATTCTATTCTATTCTATTCTATTCTATTCTGCATTCTATTCTATTCTATTTTCTATCGTATTCTATTATTTTCTATTATATCCTATCCTATCCTATCCTATCCTATCCTATTTTATTCTATTCTATTCCATTCCACGGAGTTCCCAGGGACACAGTCTGTAGGCAACACAAGCACACATGCCAACACACAGCAGAGGTAGTCCACGACTCACAACTATTCATTTAGTGACTGTCTGGTTGCAACAACACTGAGAAAGGTGACTTATGGCCATTCTTCACCTTTATGACGGCTGCAAGCATCCCCAGGGTCACCTGATCAAAATTTGGATGCTTGTCAACTGACTCATATTTATGACCGTCGCAGAGTCCTGGTCCCCCTATTTGCAAACTTCTGACAAGCCAGGGAAGCCAGATTCACTTAACAACCAGTGTTAGGAACTTAACAACTGCAGTGATTTGTTTAACAGCAATGGTGATAAAGTGGGGCAAAGCTCACTTAAGCTCACAACCGTCTTGCTTAGCAATGGAAATTTTGGGCTCCGTTGCAGTTGTAAGTTGAGGACTACCTGCACCATAGGATGAAGACTCAGGAATCCAGCAACCAGAGACCACCACCCCAGGCCCGGCCCCGCTGGATCTGGAAGACGAGGGGAAGCTTGCTACAGACGCTCACGGAGCACCAATACCTGCTGAGAAGGTCAGGAGGACTGCGATCCAGCCCAGAATGTACGACCAGGAGAAGCGCCAGTCGGCGTAGCGCTTGCTGTAGAAATTCAGAGTCACGCCGGTGTAGACGGAGAGGCCCAGCAGGGCGAAGAGTCCTGGGAACAAAACGGGGGTTTTCTTGAACGATGTGAATTTGGGGGAAATATCAAACTAGGCTTAGAACACAGAGCGTAGAATAAGGGGTTTTTTGAAGGGACCCTGGAGGTCTTCTATGCTTAGGGACCTTACGCCATTCTGGAAACATGGCTGTCCAGTCTCTTCTTGAAAACTTCCAGCGTTGGAGCAACCACAACTTCTGGAGGCCAGCTGGTTAATTGTCCTCACTGTCAGGAACGTTCTCTTTAGTTCTCGGTTGCTTCTCTCCTCGCTTAGCTTTCCATCTGTCGCTTCTTCTCATGTTTAAGTCTATTGACAAAGGTTCCACCCTGGAGAACTTGTGTTTTCTCATTTACTGAAACCTGAATCTCTCAGCCTCCCAATTCCCCGGTCAAACTATCCTGTCTCCATCTTTCTGTAGAGTCTCTTATGGAATAACAGAGTTTGGGAGGAACCTTGGAGGTCATCTAGATCGAGCCCCCTGCTCGAGCAGGAGAGCCTATTCCAAATATTAACCTCTACCTAGCATTGAACTCACATCCTCCTGAATTGTGAGGTTACCAGATCATTCAAGATCGTTCTGGATCTTGAGCCTATCTTCTAAAGCAGAGGTCCCCAAACTTGGCCACTTAACTAGCTGAGGAATTCTGGGCGTTGAAGTCCACAAGTCTTAAAGTTGCCAAGTTTGGGGACCCCTGTTCTAAAAGGTTGGCTTGGTATCATCTGCAAATTTGATGGGTTCCCCTTCTGTCCTTTCATCTAAATTGTTTATGAAGATGTTGAAGAGTCCTGGGCCCGAGACAGAACCTTGTGGCAGCCCACTGCTTACTTCCCTCCATGTCAATGCAATTCTACTGAGGACAACACGTTGAGTGCGGTTGGTCGCCAGTCACAAATCCATCTGATGGCAATGCCACATTTTTCTACCTTACTAAGAAGTAAATTGTGGTCTGCTTTATCAAATGCTTTACTGAAGTCTAACTATTCTATGTCCGCAGCATTTCACTGATCCACTAAGTTAGTCACTTTGTCAAAGAATGAAATAAATTTTGTTTGGCATGACCTGTTTTTGACAAACCTGTGCTGGCTTCTAGTAATCAGATACAGATGATTAGAGTTGGAAGGGACCTTGTAGGTCATCTACTCCAACCCCCCACCCAAGCAGGAGACCCTACACCATTTCTGACAGAGGGCAGTCCAGTCTCTTCTTGAAAGCCTCCAGGGATGAAGCTCCCACAACTTCTGAAGGCAACTTCTGTTCCATTGGTGGATTGTTCTCCCTGTCAGAAAATTCCTCCTTATTTCCAGGTTGAATCTCTCCTTGATTAGTTTCCACCCTTTGCTTCTTGTCCTGCCTTCAAAATAAGTCAACCCCTTCTTCTTTGGGGCAGCCCCTCAAATATTGGGAGAGTGCTATAATGTCACCCCTACTCTTTTTTACAAGAGTAGACATATCCAATTCCTGCAACTGTTTGTAGTATTTTTGAGCCTCCAGTCCCCTCATCTTCCTGTTTACACTGAATCTCTCCTGTACAGTTTCCATCCATTATTCCTTGTCTGGCCTTCAGGTGCCTTGGAAAATAACTTGATCCCCTCCTCCTCTCTGTAGCAGCCCCTCAAATACTGGAAGGCTGCTCTCCTATCTCCCCTGGTCCTTCTCTTCCCAAGACTATCCAGGCCCAGTTCCTACAACCGTTGCTCACATGTTTTAGCCTCCAGTCCCCTCATATAGACGCAATCTACATAGACTTCTGTAAAGCCTTTGATTCAGTGGTACACGACAAACTACTCCTAAAACTAAAACTAAAATCTTACAGTATCTCTGGACACCTGCATAACTGGATAGAAGCATTCCTGTCAAACAGACAACAAAAGGTCAAAATTGGGAACATCCTATCAAATTCTGTACCTGTCAACAGTGGTGTCCCCCAAGGGTTCTAGGACCAACTCTCTTCATACTCTACGTAAATGACCTCTGTGATCATATTAAGAGCAACTGCGTTCTCTTCACTGATGATGTAAAGCTATTCAACACCACAGACAATACTACTACCCTTCAAAAAGACCTCGACTATGTATCAGAATGGTCAATCAAATGGTAACTTCAAATCTCAACAAATAAATGCTCTGTCCTACATATTGGCAAAAAACAAACAAACCAGAAAATAAAATACAGGCTGAATAGTCAAGACCTTGTTGAGGATCCAAACTCTGTCAAGGACCTTGGAGTACTCATCTCTAATGATCTAAGTGCTAGAGCCCACTGTAACTACATAGCCAAAAAGGCGTTGTTAACCTAATCCTGCATAGCTTTTTCTCTGCTAATATTACACTACTAACTAGAGCTTACAAAACATTTGCTAGACCAATACTTGAATACAGCTCATCAGTCTGGAACCCACATTATGTATCTGATATTAACACAGCTGAGAAAGTCCAGAAATATTTCACAAGAAGAGTTCTCCACTCCTCTACTCGTTGCAGAACACCTTATGCCACCAGACTTGAAATTCTAGACCTAGAAAACCTAGAATTATACCACCTTCGGTCCGATCTAAGTATAGTATATAAAATCATACATTGCAATGTCCTACCTGTCAATGAATACTTCAGCTTCAACCATTACAATACAAGAGCAAACAATAGATACAAACTCAAGGTAAATGGCACCAAACTTGATTGCAGGAAATATGACTTCAGCAACAGAGGGGTCAATGTCTGGAATACTCTACTTGACTCTGTGATTTCTTCCTCAAACCCCCAAAACTTTAACCTTAGTCTTTCTACTATTGACCTCACCCCTTTCCTAAGAGGTCTGCAGGGGGGCGTGCATAATGTACCATAACCAACGTGCCTACCATCCCTGTCCTATTGTTTCTTTTATTTTTTATTTTTCTTATATGTATCCATGTATTCATAACTATGTTTTTACTTATATCTATTATCTTGTAAGCAATTGACAAATAAAAATAAGTAAAATAAAATAAATAAATAAATCATCCTGGTTGCTCTTCTCTGCATTCTTTCTAGAGTCTCAACCTCTTTTTTATAGGGTGGTGACCAAAACTGGATGCAGGACTCTAGGTGTGGCCTTAGTAAGGCTTACTAATACAGGTGGACATGTTGAAGTCACACCAAGGTGTCCTCATGTGACTTGAAGCCACCGTTGTATTATAAACAGCAACACTCTAAGCTCTCCAAACTTGGCAACTTTAAGACTTGTGGACTTCAACTCCTGGAATTCTGGGAGTTGTAGTCCACAGGTCTTAAAATTGCCAAGTTTGGGGAGACCCTTGCTCTCAGCTAAAACCAAGCAAGCCACTTTCAACCATAGATTAGGGATCCCCAAAGCTTTTCCTTCGTTACCCCAAACCACTGATCAGAATGTCCTCATTTAAATGTCCAGTATGGTGACCAAAACTGGGTGCAGTGCTCTAGGTGTGGCCTTACTAAGGTTTTATAGAGTGGTAGTAGTACCTCCCTTGATCTTGATTGTATCCCTCTGTTAATGCGATCACCTTGTTCAGTTTCTAGGTTGTTGTGGTTAGTTGGCAGCAGGTGCGGATGGCTGAGGAGAGCGAGGACTCAGATGACGGGCCAGGACCATCAGGGAATGGACTGCTGCCTTCAGAGATTGTGGGGGCTGGCAGCAGCAATGAGGAGTTTCCCGAGGGGCCTGTGCCAAGTGCGTGTGCGTGTGCGTGCAGGATTGCTCACAGGAAAGAGCAGCTACAACAACACGGGAGACTCGGGAGTAAGGCTGCAAGGTAATGGCCCCTCCTTCAAGAAGATAAAAGCTAGCTGTGAATCGGATGTTCTTTGCAGGAAGCAAAGACGTTTTGAAACTCGAGCCTTGTGGACATTGCAGTCTTAGTTGGTATTTGAAAACTCTTGTGTTGTGAAATATTTTTTATCTTTTAGTCTTGGCAGACTCGCACAGTTTTGGCGAGGTTTGTGCTTATCAAAGTTAATTAGTTTGCAGCAGCCTTTTTAACCGGGGATTCGTAAGAATCCTTAAAAGGTTTCTGTTCCCTTTGGTTCATGTTTGTTTTATTGGAAAAGGGTTCGGGTCAGAACAGAGGTGCTCGAAAATACCCCGCTTACCTCTGGATAGAGCGGTGGTTTGTCAGGCTTGGCAGCTTGGAGACAGCTGGACTTCAACTCCCAGAATCCTCCCAGCCAGACCCACCTACCTGCGATCAAGAGGGTGACCCCTGCCGAGCGACTGCGGGAGAAGCGATTGGTGCCAGAGTAGGTCATCAGCTCCAGGATAATCCCAGCAAAGGAAGAGAGGATGGAGATGAGCATGAAGGCTCTCGTGGCGTCCCAGAAAGCTGTGGGTTGGGGGAGCAAGAGCCATTGGTTTCCCTCACACCACGCTTAGCTTCAAGTCCAGGAAGTGAACCTGAAGCTAACGTGAACGTGAGCTTCATGACGGGTTCAAAGTTGGGAGGGTCCTCCCCAGAGTTACTTTACCACCCAGCGTTCTGATAGTCACAGTCAATTTTTTTGGCCTCAGTTGTTAAATGAAGCGCTGAAGTTGTTAAGTGAATCGAGCAGCCATTAGGCAAATCCGTCTTCCCTCATTGACTGGACTTGGGGGAAGCCAGCTTGAAAGATCACAAATGGTGATCCCGTTGATCCTAGGACAGAGGTCCCCAAATTTGGCCACTTTAAGACTTGTGGACGTCAGCTCCCAGAATTTTCATTTTCTTCCTTCCTTCCTTTTTCTTTTCCTTCCTTCCTTCCCTTATGTTTGTCTGTCTATCTATCTACCCTACCTACCTACCTAGCCCCTATCTTCCATCCATCAACCTATCCACTATCTATCATCTATCTGTCTGTCTGTCTGTCTATCCATCCATCCATATCTATATCATCTATCTATCTGTTTGTTTCTCGTTCCTTATATTTCTGCCTGTCTGCTCTTCTGTCTGTCTGTCTGTCTGTCTGTCTGTCTAATTCATATGGTCACCTATCTCACAGAAAGTGAGCTTGGGAGGCATACAAACCACCCAATAAAACAGTAAGGCCTTTATTTATTTATCTCTTAAAGCAGGGGTCCCCAAACTTGGCCACTTTAAGATTTGTGGACTTCAACTTCCAGAATCCCAAACTTGGCCACTTTAAGACTTGTGGACTTCAACTCCCTGGTAGGGAGTCTTAAAGTGGCCAAGTTTGAAGACCTCTGTCCTAGGGCATTGCAACCATTTGGAGAAGATATCAAGATAGAAAGTGGGAGGTGGTGAATTCTAGTCCCGCCTTAGGCATGAAAGCCGGTTGGGTGACTTAGGGCCAATCACCAGGAGACAGTGAGTTCTAGTCCCACCTTAGCCATGAAAGCCAACTGCTCCCCCTCTTCTCAGTCAAACCCACCTCACAGGGCTGTTGTTATTAGGAAAATGGGAGGAGGAAGATGTGTTGGATATGTTCCTTGCCTTGAGTAATTGCAAAAGTAGTAAAGGCAGGATACAAATAAAATAAAATAATTAATATATGCTGATTGACAATTGCCCAAATTTGGACCACATCACCATGGAACTGTTCAGTAGTTGTTGGTGTGAGAACTGGTCATGTCACTTTTTTCAGCATCACTGTAACTTTGAACCGTCGCTATATGAATGTCCATAAGTCGAAGACTACCATATCTTTACAGATGCTCAGAGGATGCCCTAAATCAGGGGTGTCCATCCTTGGCAACTGAAATGGTATAGATTATCCTGGTTGGGGAGGGGGCTGGACTAGAAGACCTCCAAGGTCTCTTCCAGCTTCTATTCTATTCTATTCTATTCTATTCTATTCTATTCTATTCTATTCTATTCTATTCTCTGTTCTGTCTGTTCTGTCTGTTCTGTTCTATTTTCTATTCTATTTTATTCTATTCTCTATTCTGTTCTGTTCTGTTTGTTCTGTCTGTTCTGTCTGTTCTGTTCTGTTCTATTCCATTCTATTCTGTTCTCTATTCTGTTCTGTTCTGTTTTCTATTCTATTCTATTCTATTCTATTCTATTCTATTCTATTCTATTCTATTCTATTCTATTCTATTCTATTCTATTCTATTCTATTTCATTCCATTCCATTCCATTCCATTCCATTCTATTGAAGGCCTGTGGACCTACTCTCAGAATTCCTAGTCAGCCACCCTTTAAGACATACTGGCTGGGGAATTATGGGAGTTGAAGTCCACAGCTCTTCAAGTTGCCGAGGTTGGAAGCCACCCCTGTACTAAACCAGCCCAATAGGGGCTCTTGGGATGGTGCAGCGAAAACAGTCCCATTTTCCAGCCCCCAACCATGGTCTCCTCACCGAGGGTGATGGTGTGCGGGTGGCATTTGTTCCCCACACAGAAGCGCCAGAGCCCTTGGTTGCTGAGGCTGCCGGAGTATCGGTATTGCATCCAAAAGTCCGTCGCTGTGGCAACAATGAGGAGGACCAGCCCAGAAGTGGCGCACAACAGGGCCCCTCCCATCCAGCCGAACATCGTGGCCCCTGGTGGTCGAGACGCTCCAGCGGGGTCTCCTTTTGGAAGAAGAAAGGGGAGGGGGAAATTCTGCAAACCGGGAAAATCAGCCCAATGGGGATGTCCTAGTATGATTTGATTGCGTCCTAGTATGACTATCTAGTAGACGTCCTTGTATGACCAATGACTATTATTAAGTGTTGCACCTGATGATTCTTGACTCTTGACGGAAGTCTCTTTTCTTTTATGTGCACTGAGAGCATTTGCACCAAGACAAACTCCTTGTGTGTCCAATCACACTTGGCCAATAAAGAATTCTATTCTATTCTATTCTATTCTATTCTATTCTATTCTATTCTAT